TTTTTATAATCCGCAAGTCGTTTTTTTTAATTGGTTGCAGCCCGCAACTAATTTAAAAATTGAATTTCAGACACTGGGTGAAGCCAGTGAAACTGAAGTTGAAGCTTCGACAGATGGTTGAATAAAAAATTTTATTATTAGGTTTTAGGAGGCGTAAATAAGATTATAAAAAATAGAAAGAGTACGCTCAAGTATTTAATTCTATAAATGTCGTCATTGATTGTAATACTTGAGTGTTACATGAGTATTTTTTAATTAATTGATTGAGATGCTTGAGAATACCCTTAATCAAAAATCAGCTAAAAATCATTCAGCAAATTTAAGCAATGAAATAGCCGTAAAGCGTTATGGAGAAAATGGTAAAAATATTCATTAGTCAGTTTTGGCATAAATCGTCTATATTTTTGCCATTCATGTATAATAATAACTCTAGAAGCATCAATTACCAAAATTTCAATCAAACAAATTGAGACAATAATGGATTTTATTCGAATCATTTTTTAAATTTGTATGTAAGTTGAGAGATTTTTTTTTTTGTTCCCTTTTTAATACCATTTACTGTCATCACATATATATTCAACAGCTGAGCTAGCGCAGCGTTTCGATACACAGCTATTGCGCTATAGAGTATATATACAATTTGTTGAAATTTGTGAAACTCAAAATTACTAAAGAAAGCATTAACGTTAATACCGAAACTACCCAAATAAGTAATTTGGCGTAACACCAAACGATAACGATTGTTTTTTAAGCGCTAACTAATAAAGAATATCAATAGTGACTTATTAAGAAAAATTAAATTAATTTATGCAGAACAATTTTAAGTATCGCAAAAATTCCAATAATAAGGCTCGTGCCCAAGGTATGACAGATAATTACAGCATCTGATTGCGTCATCGGTCATCATTCAAGGTCCAGGTTTGTAAGAAGAGACAAAACTCCAGAACGAATTTACCAAGCGAAAGAAAGTTACAAGGCAAATTTACAGCTACACCCTTTTTTTAATGCAAAGATCAACTTAATTAAAGAGCCAAATGAAATAAGGAGATCGATTAGAGCAGGGTTAATTTTAAATACTGCATTAATTACGTTCTTGATATCTATTTATAAATACTATCATATCAGTATCAAAAAGGTATCATTAACTTTATTAATTCAAATTAACAAAGTCAAACAGATCTAAATCAACATACTAATTCAGATAGATACATCTTTTTTAAACCATTTATATCATTTAATACTAGAAAACTAAGAAAACTTCGCTTAAAGAAACTTACAAACCAATAATTACATACAAAGAATTTATCGCATAAGATTAGAAGACAGATAGATACGCGTAAAGTGGAATGAATGTAATATTTATCATTAAATACCCAACTCATTAAAGAGTTAATACGTGAATAAATTATTAGCGAAACTATCTTTGTTCTTTATTTATTATCTTTTGAAAAAATCAAAGTAATTCGATTTTATTAATTATTTTAGCCTTTATTAGAGATCTTTAGCCCATATAATTAATAAACAATAATACTCATAGACCGTACATATTATCAACCTACTATCTATAATATTCAGAATATATAAAATAAGAACATTAGTATAAGCTTTTTATTGTCCGAAGGACACTACTGGGTAGAGCAATAGTACACCCGATGTCCGTGTGTTAACAAATTCCGAAACCTGATTGGCTAGATCGGGTGTAACGTAAAAGATTTAAAAAAAAAACTGAAACTAACGTTTATTGGCTAGATCAGGCGTAATATAAAAAACCGTGATAAATCCTTTATGTTTATGTAAAATGGATTCATCATTCCCGATTTCATCGAATACTTCTTCTGCAACCAAGTTAGAGTTCATATTATTAAGCTTATTCTCCAAAAATTCGGAAAATTTTTGGACTTTCAATTTATTTTCATTTTTATCAATACAAAAAACCATACTATAATTAATTAAATATGGATGTCCTAATTCAGGTAATTTCTCTGTTTCCTCATGAAACTTCTCAGTAAAAATACACGCATAAGGATATTCATCCTCCGTTTCTTTATTAGATGATTCAGTAAAAATATAAGGATCTAGTAGATTGAAATTATTTTCCTCATTCCTCTTATATGTGACAAGCAAAGATTCTCTACCTTCGTATAAAAGAAAATAACACTTTGTTATATCGTAATTAACTTTATCTAATAAACATTATTACAGTAAAATTAGTAAAAAACATATTTTCCAGTCATTGAATAATAAGGATAAATGTAACTTACGCATTGATATCATTACTTGAAGCTTAGTCGAATATATGTATATAAATTTATTGAACCAAATAGCCAATAAATTTGCTTTATCACTTATAACTAAGTTATGTGTGTAACCAATCTCCCATTCCGTAGTCAAATAAGAAATAAATTCCAAAGTTATAATATCCCATGCCATGATAATGTGTGTATCATGTTTGTATATAAAAATATATCCATTATTATGAAGCACATATGATCTTTAGAATAATTATAATTTGCAATTCTAAATATTTTTTTACGTTTTCCACTTAACTCGAATATATAGCCTGTAATACTGTTAGTATTATCACCATAATTCCTAGAATTTAACTCATGATCAATATTTGAATATGATTTGCTTATAAAACGATTCTTAGAATTAGTTTCTCTCCTGACAAGTAAATAATAATCGCAATTATTATTAAATATAAAGTTACTTTCAATTATTTCTTTTTTATTATCGCAGGGTTTTAAAATCTTCATTTCGTGGCGTTCTAATGCAAAAAGTGCTGGTAGGTAAAATTTGAAGTATTTGAATTTAGAATATTGATTATATGGTTTGAAATACTGTATTTTAAGGCATGGTAAATGCAACCTATAGAACAATTAAAAGAAATCAAACTTTGGACTCTTAAATTTATAGCTTAAATATTCAATTTACATTTAATGATTCTGTTAAGTCATAAATTTAAAGCAAAAGCCTGTTTTTCTTTAGTAACATCGAATTTGAATTTTTTAGGTTGTTTAGACTATACTGATGTCTGACCTGCATGTCTGAGATCTTCATCTTCATTATAAGGCATCAACGCAATATGTTTTTGATCTGATAGTTTTAGATCAAATTTTTTAGCATTTAAAAAATCCGAACATTCGATTTCTTTTGAAAGACCATGTTGGATTTGCTCTTTTAGTGAATAGCAATCTTCATATTTCAGATTCATTTGATCTTCAATAGAGTATATACAAGCTGACATGTCTTTATCGCTCCAAGTTGCAATATATTTTAATTTTGGAGAACACACAATCTTTGTTATTTCTTTTCCATTGTGTGGTGGGGAATTTTCCCTTGGAATCTCTATAATTTGTTCGCTCATTTTTTTTTTTTTATTCTCATAAATTCTGCAAATGAAAATTATTTATGGAATAAATGCGCTAAGCCAAGTGAAAACTTTAAGGCTTTTTGTTTACAACTAGACTTCAATTAAAACCTGATCAACGGCAAATATTTAGCACATATTATATATATATAGTATAAGGATATGCTCTGTACTGGTACTGTATTATCACTCTGATTTATTGTTTAGATTAATTTTCATCATAACTTCAACCTATTCAGATTATCAGTGAATAAACTCGTGCTGGCTTAGTCTAAATTGCGAGGGATGAGTCTGTTAAGTTATAAAGTTAAAGCCTGAAGCCTTTATCACACAAATATTTTCATCTAAGCATCCAATAATAATAACCATGAATGCATCGAGTTAGATTGCAACACAAGGTAGGCCTAACGTGTACGTAATTCTAATCTTAAATACATGGATAGTGTGTGTTAACCTACTCTTATGTCATGACCATTTTATATACCACTTTCTTAAAAAAATAAACTTATTTTATCAAGTATTTGTTTTGATATTCTCTGGTATATGAAATACGGATATAATTTATAGATTTATAATACAAAATTTAAGAGCAAAGCTAGCGTATCATCATTATTTTAAAGGGGTCCGTATTATTTCACCGACAATCACTTCATAGACACTACATTTCACCAACAATTATTCACCGAGCCCGTATCATATAATTTTTTTTTCGAAGAATCAAAAGGTCATGATATCATGATCTACGGAGATCACAATAATGTTCAAATTTGATGAAAGCTATCATGATGAAATGATTTTTATTCCAGCTATACTAAAGAGTAAATCGACGGATTTTTAAGAACCCTAAAATTATGGGTATTTGATTCTATGATAATCGTTCCAATCGTAGGACACATCATAGTTTGTATTTAGCTATCTTATAATGATTTAATGTTTCAGCCTCCAACTTGAATTTTCACATAAATAAATAAATATAATATAAAATATATAATAAATAAATATAATATAAAATATATAATAAATAAATATAATATAAAATATATAATATATAATATATAAAATCAATTCAATCATATTATTATTTCTTATCGTTATTGCTGCTTCGAAAGTTAAACATCAAAAAACAAAAAAAAGTACATTATTAGCACTATCGCTATTGTGTTAATACAAACATATACAGTATTTACATACATGTTTACAGAGTCAATGAAGTTCGAAAATTAAATTTGAAGCTCTTTCACATGACATTCGAACTTAGTTTTAAATTGTTTCAGAATTCGGACCTCTACGGAGATGGAGTAGAAACTGTTACACTTATGCCGTAACTAGTTACGACATAAGCTTTAAATGTTACCGTAACGGTTTCTATTCCATCTCTAAGCTGGACCGAACTGGACTTTTATCATTAGGTGTTATTACGCAGTACATTTGAAGTTTAATTACCAAATAATTGGGAATCGTAAATCTTTTATTACACAAGAAGATTATGGCTTTTACATTAAAATTTTGCAAGTTCTCGAACTCAGTGTTGGGCTGGACATTGGACCACACTTGTCCAGTCCAATCCATTGGACCAAAAAGTATTGGACAATAATATATAAATCAACATATAATCATTGTTGGACATATGTCAAAGTCCAATGTCCAGTCCAGTCCAATAGCATAAAAATAGATGGACATATGTCCAGTGCTAACACTGCTCGTACTAGTATTAAAATTACAAAAGATTGCTATTGGGCAAAGAAACATTGGTTTATGAAATTTAAGAACATGGTTAAATTTTGTTATTGATCGGTATAGAAAATATAGTAGACTTTGCTAAGTATAGTAGAAAGGGGGTTTCCGGAAGTTATGCGATAATATATAGTATAATTTTATCTTACTTCCATAATAAATAATTTAATTATATAAACAAAAAAAATATAAATATAAAAAGTAATATATTTATTCAGTGCTTTTGTTTAATATATATTATATATATATATATATTAAAACTAGGAGTATATATGTATAGTAGTACATTTAAAAGGAATTTTATGTACACTATATCCAACAATACCTGGATTTATATATAATATCTAAGATGTTCATAATTTTTAAATCCTAAAAATCCTAAAAATAAAGAAATAAAACCGATAATAATGAAAATTAAAGTGGTATTTGACTTTTGTCGCCTATGTAACAAGTAATTGTATTGAATATATTTATTAGATTTATCAACTTGAACATGATAAGATTATAAATTCGAATAATTTAAATGATTACATACCGTGCATCTCTAAAATTAAGTAAATTATATGCCTTATTAAATTTAAGAATCATCTCTTTGATATTATTCATACTTTGTTTTACAACTTGGTCATTCCTGTTAAATATATCTGGATTCGGAGAAATAATCCACCGATTTTCTATAGTTTCCAAAAACTTCTTCATTGACAGATTAAGCCTGTCTTCGATATGATATTCTTCAGTTTGCGTCTTATTCAAATGAGAAAATGCAACTATCATATGGTTAATAACTCCATCTCCAAGAAAATGTTTAATCATACCAACTATTCCTTCAAAATTTCGGTAGTCTTGTATATCTTATTAATTAAAAATAAATTAGCTATTTTTTTAAAAAAAGTTTCAAAAATAAAAGAAAAATGTTTATCATAGTAATAAATACTAATAACAAGAATTATCGCTTGGATTCCATAAGTACACATATCAATTAATCTTTTAATTTTTTCTTTTAAATGTTCTTGATCCTCTTCTTTTGAATCGAATATACCTGGAGTGTCGACCATAACAAATTCTCTACCATCAATTCGAATTGGAGTAGTTTGACATTCTTTAGTGACTCTACCCTTAATAAAATAATAAAATTAAAATAATGAAATATTGAATGAGGCAGTTATACTTAAAATGTTAAACAAAAAAATAATTTGTGTTGACAGACCATCTTGTTTTTTGATTCGAATAAATCTTCATCTAAAATCCAATTTCCTAACGTACTTTTACCAGCCCCTATAATAGTATAAAATCCATAAACAATATTTATTACAGTTGTTAAAATAACATTAAAAACAATGTTAATTAGATATTTACCGGTGCATCCCACGATTAAAATCGCAGTATTTTTAACCACTTTTGGATTTACATCAACTTGTGGTAACATTTTATCTGTGGTATTTTTAATTTCTTTTGGATCCATATTAGTTTCTTTGCTTCCCATTTTAAATAACTTGTTTATAGGTTACAAACAAATTTATATTATTTTATTATTATTATTATTATTATTTGAAATTATGGATGGATTTTGAATACGGAGATAGTACCTTTTTTTAGTGGTTGAGGTCAAGGTACTGTTATTCTCAAACTACTTTTTTAAGTTTAAAAAAAGTTATTTCGTGGTTAACATTAAAAAGGACTACTTAGTGATTTATAATTAATAGGCATACTATTAAAGATAGATAAAGATATTAATAATTGCAATAATAGATTTCTTAAATTATTATTGTTTGATGAATGCAAACCTCTATTTAACTTTCGATGGGAATCAAGCTATTTATTAAGATTACATCTATTGACTATGCTATATTTACTCTATATATAATATATATATAACAAAGAACAGAATACTAGATACTATAATCTTACATAATACTGATAAGAAACGATGGTGCCATCATTCTTGGCATTTGTGTTACAACTATATTTTATGCACTGTCAGAGGATTAATAGCCTGGGGACTTGATTTTATTATTTACCTATTTGTTGTGAGGGACAAACGTGAATAGAGTAGAAACTCGTTAGTATTATTGTATGAATTATTGTTAGGTAATTGAAACCTGACTTTAATAAATCCTTGTGTATAGTCCTTATGCTTTGTGTATTGGTCGACTTTTGGAATTACTATTATCATATTAGTGCAATCATAGAATCTATGATTGTATTTTTTTTAAATAACTTTGTAATTCAAGAACATATTCTGATAATATTTATCAGATATTAACTATAATTGGACTAGAGGTTAAAAGTTCTGAGCTCTAACTTAACTAGCGCGTAGTTTAAAATTTGACGCCCAACTATAACCAAAATGCTGGTTAATTTTATCAAAATCATACTAGATTCTAATTTAATAGTAATTCAAACACATGTAATCAATGAAGAGAAAGTTCTTACGCCGCGTACGTACTGCACGTACGTACGTACGTATCAGGTATGTACAGCACGTAAGTATATACATATTTTGCAACATGCAGATTGCTGCTATAATAGAGTACAATGGACAATGGCCCAATTACATATTAAGTATTTGAATACTGTGCTAAAAGATCTAAGGAATTCTGTAAATGCAAGCATTTTCCCACAGTAAAAACTAGTAGCCATTTTGAGGATTTCATTTCTCAGCCTTCCTTATCGCTTTTAATTTGTAAGGTATCAGTCCTTTCTTTCTAAGGATGTTAATCGGTCTTTGAACCTGATAGACTAATTAAAATTCCTAAAATATTTTATTTAAAACATCAAATTAGAAAACTCAATAAACTAAATGAAGCTCTTTTTTTGCACCAATTTATCATATTACCCACGGAAAATATAGATCGAAAAAATGCTTTAAATCATTTTTTTAACGGCTAAAACCATATTTGTCTAAAGGTAGTAAAACACGCAGCAATAACTTATTTTTACCTTTATTTTTGAAATTTATTACTCTATAATGTACTGAATTTATTATTTATATAATTGCATAATCTTTAACATAAATAGTTAAAATAAATAATTAAAATAAATAATTAAAATAAATTTTCAAATATTCCTTCGCCACGATATTATAAGTTTTGATAAATAATAAACCTTAAAAAATTTAACAATTTTTGAAAGAAAGTTATGGATGAAAAAGTTGAAAAATTTGATTCACCTTCTATAATTTTGGTCGGAAGAGAAGGCATGTTAGCTAAACTGTTTAAAGTATATTCTACGTTATTAATTTCATATAATTTATTAGGTGTAGGAAAAAGTACTCTCGGGAATATGTTATTAAAAGCATGCAATTATGAAAATTTTTTTGATCCGTATCATGGAGCCTATGATGGAGATGGTCGCGATGTATCTATTTATTTGCTTATTTATTTGTTTATTCATTTTCAATATATATTTTTTATCACTTATCTTTGCCATAATGGATAACAATGATATTCTTCTTTTTCCGAATATCATATTATTTCATATATTCAAATCCAATTTTAGGGACGTTATCAACAAAAAATAAAAACTACAAAATTTTTTATAGGTGAACAAGAATTCGTTTTAGTGGATACACCAGGGTTTACAAATGAAAAAACTAGTTCAAATAGAACATGGTTAGAAATTAATAAAGCTATTGATAATTCATATGAACATGGAGTTCATGCTTTTCTTTTTGTACTTGGCACGTATATTTTAAATTCGTACATTTTTAATATATTTTGTATGTATTGCAATGTTATTGTTTATATTTGTATTTCATTCGCTTAATTTATAGAAGGTCAGCGTTTTCCAGCAGATAGAAAGTCTCATTTAGATGAATGCATGAAAAAATTAAATAATGAAAATGTAATCATAGTATTTACAAAATGTGATAAAGAACAAACTGAAAATTCTGAAATAATGAAATCTTCTTTTGCTGATTTTGTTGAAAAATATATCAATAAAATTGATAATCGATGGGTTGTCGCACCAAATCATGATATTTTTAAAGAATCTAGTGATGTAACCACTAAAAATATGAACGATTTAGCGAAGAAGATTTCCGAAATTAAAAATCCTTGGAAAAGGAGTAAACAACTGGATTCATGGCATATGAAGATTTCTGAAATTAAAAATCCATGGCATATTTGTCTTGTTGTTGGTTTGATCTTCTTGATTTTGACGATTTCGTTTAAAAAAAAAACCGATAAATTTGATTTACTAGTAGTTGAACCAGCAATCGTTTTACTAGGGGAAACTGGTAAATATTAAAGTTGCATAAAATTTATGTATTAAATTAATTTACATATTAATTTGTAGGTTCGGGGAAAAGCACATTTGGAAATTATTTGGGAAACGGTTCTTGCAAGTTTACTGCCAAAAAAAGTGTATGTAATTTAAAATAATATTAGTTAAAGTATATTTATGGATTTGTTATGGCCTAATAAAGATCATTTTTATTTATTGACTGCATATAAAGAAAGCTCCTGTCACCAAAAATTGCGAAAAATGTCCGATTATTATTGGAGATCATACTTACAATCTTATTGACACTCCTGGATTAAACGATCCAAATTCAATTAAAAAAATAAACGAATCAATCCACATCAAATTTGAAATAAAAGAAATTACAGCGATTATTTTTGTTATCAGTAAGTTCTTTTTCTTTTTCTTTTTTATTCACAATTTTATATTTTAATATATTTTTTCTTTATGTAGATCCATCTGAATATAAAAGTTTCAACAATACATTAGAAGCAATCAAATTATTTGATAATCAAGCTATTAATAATAAAATGATGGTGCTTACTAATCTTGACGGAGAACAAATAAAAGAATTTACTGGAGGTGATAAAAAATCAATTGAACGACTTTGGGATATAACTGTCAATACAACAAAATTGTTGAAATATGTTAATTACAATTGGGCTATCTTTCCAAACCCACAATTTAATGAAGAGATTATTGTCGAAAGCATGAAAGTATTAGAAAAAAGGATAGGAAATTTTATTAATAATTCAAGTAAATCAATAATCCATCACAATAATAGATTAGTATAGTTTGAATGCTACTTTACATATTTAGTAAAATCAAAGATTTTTACAAAGTATATTATATGTAGATAAGGTAGCTATATAATACAATTATGAAATACTAGTATCAAATAACAATAAATACAGAAATAAATAAATTTAATAATTGTTATACACACTACCCTGACTTATCAGGCTGGAAAATTTGTTCGTTATAATAAAAATACATTATTATTTATAACGGATTTACTAATACCGTATTTGCGTTATTTGAGCCACGGCCCGAATTAAGCCTAATTTAGGCCGAAATTCGAAATTACACCCCTGCGCGTTATTACGCGCTAATACTACACTTAGGATATAATCCGTTACAATAATAACATTTTACTATCAATCGCATATTTATAGTTTGACCCAATTATTAAATAATTTTTTACTGACTAAATGGTTAAAAACCTCAAAATATAAAATTTTATTTATAGTTACAGTCAAAGCTCAATATAGCGAAGTTCACATCCTGATCTAATGCCTTCATTATGTTCAAACATATTTAGGATATTCGCTATGTAAAAATTTGTAATCTCGAGCTTTGACAATATAATGTATAAATGCAAAAAAAATATTAAACAACCAATGTTTTTCTCAGGTTAAATCATGTACTAGAGTTTTATTGGTTGTGCTGTTTCTGCACTTAAGATCACATTTAATAACCAATTAGATATCATGTCCGGTATAGGAAACCAAATGATATCTTAAATAAAGTAAACTTAATCCGAATCCGCTATAAGCATGAATATTATAAATATCTGTAATATCTACTATTTAAAATCTGGTTCTAATAAATTGATCTATTATAATAAGGGATCCGCTTTGACTGGGTCTGTTATAACGAGTGTAGAGTGTATTAAACATAACAACATATATATGTATATAATACAAAACGCAATTATTGTGATTTCTACTATTAAACCGTTGTACTGGTTCTAGTCAAAAATCGCAACCCAATTCTGGCTAATAATTGTAAATAATTCTAGTCAAAAGTTGTAACTATTTTTGATTAAGAGATACACATTCCATGTGATCGTACTGGTATGTATAAGATATGGGTCATGCAACGATTAATATCATCGCATGATCCAATATCGATGTTATCGTGCAATTATGATCATGATTTTCAAGTCATTTTTGGCTAACTGAGTTTTAATTCGAGATTGTTGTGCTTATGTAAAAAATAACAAGAAGAAAAAAAATCTATGATCATAAGAGTTTGCACGATAACATTATATTAATGCAATCATAGATTTTATGATTGCACTAAAGATAATGACATCATGAAGAATTTATGAAATTTGGCTAAATTTGGTCACCGAATCCGAGTATTTTGTTCCCAAATTAAACTTTAGTTACCAAATTACATATTAATAAATCTATACAAAACCCCGAAAAAAATTTTGAACCTCTGATCTATACTGATAACGCGTCTAATCCATCTTTCCCACATGTAAATTTATTATAACGACGCACCCTAACAGGGAAACATTGATTATCTCAACTAAAATCTATTTACATATCAGTAGTCAAAATTTTCAAATTTTTGGGTATTTCATCAATTACGCCGCAATGATATATTTTTAATAACATTGTAATTCGAGACCTGATTCCGATAATATTTACCATAATTATAGTTTGGTGCCGAAATCCAAAACATAATAGATTTACTAGGCTAAAAGTTCTGATCTCAACTTAACTAGTAGTTTGACGCCCAACTATAACCGAAGTTTTGGTTAGTTTTGTCAGAATTACACTAGATCCTAATTTAATAGCAGTTCAAAATATATAATCAAAGTGAAAGTTTGCGACGCGTATATGTAAGATGTACAATACGTAAGTACATGCATACGTACGTACGGTACATACTTGCAACATGCAGATTGCTGCTATAATAGAGTACAATGGACTATGGCCTAATTACACATTAAGTATTTTGAATACTATGATCTATCATAACGGATCTAAAGGAAATTCCATAAATGCAGGCATTTTCTCACAGTATAGCCAGTAGCCAGTTTGAGGATTTTATTTCTCAGCCTTATCGCTTTTATTTTGTAAGGCACCAGTCCTCTCTTTCTAAAGATGTTAATCAGTCTTATCTTAAAATATTTTATTTAGGGCATCATATTATAAAACTCAATGAAATAAATGAAGTTCTTTTTCACCTACGGAATATAGATAGCATTTCATTGAAAAATGCTCTTTTTTAACGCCTAAAACCAAATATGTCTAAGGCAGTCAAACACGCAGCAATAACTTATTTTTGCTTTTATTCTTAAATTTATTATTTTACAGTGCATTGAATTATTATTTATATAATTACATTATCTTAACATAAAAATTAAAATAAAATTTTAAATTTCGTCACTATATTATAAGTTTTGATGAATAATAAACCTTAGAGAATTTACCAATTTTTAAAGAACGTTATGGTTGATTCAACTTCAGATAAAAATGTTGAAAAATCCGATTCAACTTCAGATAAAAATGTTGAAAAATCTGATTCATCTTCAGATAAAAATGTTGAAATTTTTTATTTACCTTCTATAATTTTGGTCGGAAGAGAAGGCAAGTTAGCTAAACTGTTTAAACTATATTCTACGTTATTAATTTCATATATTTTATTAGGTTCAGGAAAAAGTACTGTCGGGAATATGCTATTAAAAGCATGCAATTATGAAACTTTTTTTACACCGTATCATGGAGCCTATGATGGAGATGGTCGTGATGTATGTATTTATTTGCTTATTTATTTGTTTATTCATTTTCAATATATTTTTTTTATCACTTATCTTTGCCATAATGGATAACAATGATAATCTTCTTTTTCCGAATATCATATTATTTCACATATTCAAATCCAATTTTAGGGACGTTATAAACAAAAAATAAAAACTACAAAATTTTTTATAGGTGAACAAGAATTCGTTTTAGTGGATACACCGGGGTTTACAAATGAAAAAACCAGTTCAAATAGAACATGGTTAGAAATTAATAAAGCTATTGATAATTCATATGAACATGGAGTTCGTGCTTTTCTTTTTGTACTTGGTACGTATATTTCAAACTCATACATTTTTATATATTTCGCATGCATATCAGTATTATTATTTATATTTGTGTTTCATTCACTTAATTTATAGAAGCTACAGCAGATAAAAGTTTTCATTTAGATGAATGCATGAAAGATTTAAATAATGAAAATGTTATCGTAGTATTTACAAAATGTTCTAAAGAACAAACTGAAAGTTCTGAAAAAATGGAATCTTCTTTTCCTGATATTGTTAAAGAATTTGTCAAAGAAATTGATAATCGATGGGTTGTCGCACCAAATCATGATATTTTTAAAGAATCTAGTGATGATGTAATTACTAATAATATGAACGTTTTAGCGAAGATGATTTCCGAAATTAAAAATCCTTGGAAAAGGAGTAAACAACTGAATTCATGGCATATGATGATTTCCGAAATTAAAAATCCATGGCATATTTGTCTTGTTGTTGGTTTGATCTTTTTGATTTTGACGACGTTTCCATTTAATAATAATACCAAAAAATTTGAATCACCAGAAGTTGAACCAGCAATCGTTTTACTAGGGGAAACTGGTAAATATTTAAATTGTATAAAATTTATATATAAAATTAATTTACATATAAGATATTAATTTGTAGGTTCGGGTAAAAGCGCATTGGGAAACTATTTGGGAAATGGATCTTGCAAGTTTATCGTCAAAAAAAGTGTATGTAATTTATTATAATATTAGTTAACGTATATTTATGGATTTGTTTTGGCCTAATAAAGATCATTTTTATTTATTGACTGCATATAAAGAGATCTCCTGTCACCAAAAATTGCGAAAAATGCTCGATTATTATCGGAGGTCATACTTACAATCTTATTGACACTCCCGGATTAAACGATCCTAATTCAATTAAAAAAATCAATGAACCAATCCGCAGCAAATTTGAAATAAAAGAGATTAAAGTGATTATTTTTGTTATCAGTAAGTTCTTTTTCCTTTTCTTTTTTATTCACAGTATATATTTTAATATATTTTTTTCCTTATGAAGATCCATTCCAATTTGAAAGTTTCAACAAAACATTAGAAGTAATCAAATTATTTGATGTCCAAGTTATTAATAACAAAATGGCGGTGCTTACTAAACTTGATAGAGAACTAATAGAAGAATTTACCAGAGGGGATAAAAAATCGATCAAACATCGTCAAGAAATAACTACCAATACGATAGACTTGTTGAAACATATTAATTATAATTGGGCTATCTTTCCGAACCCGGAATATAAAAAAGAGATTATAGGCGAAAACATGAAAGAAATAGAAAAAATGATAGGAACTTTTATTAAAATTAAAGTTAAACAAAAATCCATTATAATAATGAGATTAATATAGTTTGAATGCTACTTACATACTGTATTTAGCAAAATCAAAGATTTTTACAAAGTATAATATGTAAATAAAGTAGCTATATAATACAATTATGAAATATTGGTATCAGATAACAATAAATACAGAAATAAATAAATTTTATACACACTACCCTCGTTAACGGACTTGTCAGGCTGGGAAATTCTGCCCGTTATAATAAAAATCCATTATTATTTTATAACGGATTTACTAATACACATAGGATATAATCCGTTATAATAATAGCGGGTTTACTATCTATCGCATATTATAGTTTTACCCAATTATTTAATAATTTTTTATCTGACTAAATGGTTAAAACTTTATTTAAAAGCCTCAAAATATAAAATTTTATTTATAGTTACAGTCAAAGCTCGATATAGCGAAGTTCACATTCTTTTCTATTGCCTTCATTATGTTCAAACATATTTAGGATGCAAAGACATTCGCTATGCAAAAATTTGTAATCTCGAACTTTGACTATATGGTGTATAAATACAAAAAAAAATTAAGCAACCAAATGTTTTTCTCAGGTTTATTGGTTGTGCTGTTCTACACTTCAGATCACATGTTCATTTAATAACCAATTATATACCATATTCGGTATAGGAAACCAAATGGTATCTATTAAATAAAGTAAACTTAATCCGCATCCGTTATAAGCATGTATATTATAAATATCTATAATATCAAGAGAAATTTACTATTTAAAATTTGGTTCTAATAAACTGATCTGTTATAATAAGGGATCGGGTCCGTTATAACGAGGGTAGAGTGTATAGTTGTTAGACGAAACCTTTTTTTGCTTGCTGACGAAAGTCGAAACCTGATCCCCAAATGACGAAACCTCTGCCGAAAGTCGAAACCTCAAACCTCAAATTCTTCTGACAAAAGTCGAAACCTCAAATCCTTCTGACGAAAGTCGAAACTCCAAACTTAGCTTGAC